AACACTTTACAGAAATTAGGGAACAGAGAGAGAGGGAGGGAGGGTAGTTATGTATGATGATGGATGGGTTGGTTGGGTATTAATGGTGAAGAGGTTGATTGATAGATAACTGGGAGAGATGGTGGAGGAAAAAGACAAACAAAGTGGAAGAGAGGATAAGGGATCGTGACTTACTTATCCACTAAAAATCATGATAAAGGAAAAAGAGTTTGTACATTTGAAATTCCATTTTCTTCACGTCTATTTTGACTATATAATTATTAGCGATTAGTTAATTGTTTCTTTTTTTAAAAATAATTATTTATTTAAATATTTTTTTTTGGTTTTTTTTAATTATTTATTTAAATATTTTTTTTTTGATTTTATCATTTATAGCAATATAGTATAATAATATTATATATTTTATTATAACTTTTTTTCTCTCGCCTTGCTCTTCTCTTTCACCCTTTGTTTCTTTTTTCTCTTTCGTTCTTTCTCTCTTTCTTTTCTTTTTCTTGTTATTCTTTCTCCCTCTCTTTCTAATGATTTTTCACCCTTTTTTTCTTGTTTTACTTTCTTTCATAGAGTTGTTTATGATTTATAGATTCAATAAACTTTATATCAATAATTAATCAGTACAAGTAATTTTATCGTAATAAATAAAAAAATATAATAAATAACAAAATAAATTAAACTTGAATTAAAAATGTACAATTAAAGTTGAATAAAAAGAGAATTAAACATGAATGAAAAATGTAACAAACAAAAACACATTCTATGATTTGTAAATTGAATAAAACTTGTTTTAATAATGAATCAATCAATAATTTGCAAAATTAATTGAACATGTAGTGAAAGTGTATTATATATATAATAAATTTGAATTAGAATACAGAATTAAGCATGAATAAAAAACGAAAAAGGGTCAAAATTGCCCTTAAACTATGTGAAATGGACCACTTATACCCTTCATTACATTTTGGGATCAAAAATACCCTCGTCGTTATCCTAAGAGACCACAAATACCCTTAAGACTTAATATCCCAATTTTTTGTACGTGGCAAGCCACGTGGAACTAATCATTCCACCTAAGTGTTGCCAACTTAGATTCACTACAAAAGAACTTGATCTTTAGTGGCGACAAAGTCACCACAAAATTCCAAAATATTGCCACTGGTTATGAGTGATTTTTAGTGACGACTAATATAAGGCTGCAACAACCATTCGGTAGTAAAACCTATTTTTTAAAAAGAAATACGATAATTAATTTTCGATTGCAACCTAATTTTCTAAAATGAATAACTTGCAATATCAATATTAAAAACACCCAATACTATTACCAAAAATCATGAAAATTATTTCTCTATTCAGATCTCCTATTATATTATGCATCATTGTACATTTTATACATTTACATATAACATAAAAATAAAATATACATTGTCTTCAAACTTCTACTTAATTGATATCATTTTGTTTTTCGAAAAATAATGAAGAAAAAAACACAAAATTAGAATTTGATGTTAAAGACTTTTAGTGACAATTTTTTGGGCTTTTATGGCGACTATTGTTGCCTCTAAGAGTCTAGTTTTTTTGTAATGAATCCTAGTTGGCAATGCTTAGGTGGAATGATTAGTCTCATGTAGCTTGCCGCGTCACTAAAAAATTGTGTGTGTTAACTCTTGAGGGTGTTTGTGATCTCCAAGGATAACGACGAGGGTATTTTTGATCGCAAAATGTAATGGAGATTGGAGGTTACAAGTGGTCTATTTCGCATAGTTCAGGCGTAATTTTGACCCTTTTCCGATAAAAAAAGGTAAATACTGAAAGATCAGTCAATGATTTATAGAGTGAATTAAACTTGTATCAATAATGAATTAAACTAGTAATCCAATAGTAACAAATCAACCAAAAAGTTGCAAAATTAATTAAATTTGCATTAAAGTTGTATCAAATAATATTAAAGTTGAATTACAAGAGAGAATTAAGAATAAATGAAAAACACAGCGGCTTCTCGGAGAAGAAGTTTTCTCTCCAGATCCACGTTGATTTCTTCACTTTTTAGCCACGAGGAGAGAGTAGTCAGGTCAACGGACGTTGGACTGATGCGAACCACCTGTTTAATGGAGGAGTAAGCTGATGGGAGCCCTCGAACGACGCACATGACGAGATCTTTTTCGAAAATGATTTCGTTCATGGTGTCGAGGGCTGTGATGATGGTGGAGACCTCGTCTAAATACTCCGCCATAGTTTTCGTGCCTTTGGTAATTGTGTGGAGACGATCACGCAATTGAAAAATATGAGAGTGGGAAATTGATGCATAGCGTGTTGTGAGGGCCGTCCACAGGGCTGAAGCAGTTGTGTAGGATCGGACATGTTTCTGAACCGTGGGAGAGATGACCGCAATCAAACATGATTGAATCTGGTCATCCACTGCTTTCCAGGCGGCATGGGCCGGATTGTTTTTTTCTGATTTGTCCGTGGCGGTGATGACTGGCGGCGGCGTTCTGTGCTTCCATCGACGTATTTGAGAAGGTAATTGGCCTCAAGGGCTGTAAGAACGGTGATTTTCCATGTAGGGTAATTTATGTCTGATAATTTTTCGGGAATCTAGGCATGAAGATGCCTGAGAAGGAGTTTAATGCCAGAAGGAAGTGAATCGAGAGGATCCACCTCGGTTGTCATGGCTGCCGCCGCCCAAGAGAAGAGAGGGAACGATTGGTGCCCTAAAGAGAGAAAAAAAACCTAGAGAAAAGAAGATCTAGGTTTTCTGGCTCTTGATACCATGAAAGAATATTGATTGTATTGAAGTGTTAACCTAATAAGGGAATACATGGGAGATATATATAGCGGATATAGGAAGAAGTAATAATCCTAATAGGACTAGGATTAAGGAGTACTAATCCTAATAGGACTAGAATTAGTACACAGTAAATACTAATATTATTTAATACTATTTATTTAATACTATCTGTTATTACTTTTTTCACAATTATCGAGCTACATTTCAGTGTTTTGATGGTTCAGCAACACTCTTAAAATAGCAGACCAATGGAAGCTTCCTCTTATTGCTCATTATGTGTATTAATTATTACGTTAAAAGTACTCTAATTAATTCGACTAAAGATACACTAATTGAGTGCTAGGAGAAATTAATATGAAAGAAAAGTATTGAAAGAAAGATCATTCAAATTAATGTGATTGTTGTCTGCAACAAATTAATGTGAAAGAAAAGCATTGAAAAAAAGATCATTCAAATTAACGTGGTTATTGTCTGCAACACCACATATAGTAGAAAGATAAAATTGCGAGTGATCAACTGACAGAAAGACCCCAGCCAATCCAAATTGTGTATGGAAGAAGCAGGGGCTTTCCTATCGTTTGATGCTAATGGAAAGCTCCTCACATTTCCTTTTTATGTTTTTTGTCCGCGTTTCAAAGTTATTTTGAAATCAAATCATGTAAATTTCATCTGTATTCATTGAATGTTAATTTTAAGTAAATATTATACTGAATTGACTCATAAAAAAAATGACAAGTAGATGAAGGGAGTAGTAAATATAAGCCACTGAAGTAGCATATGGTATTAAGAAATCAAAAGAAATACAACGTAGTTAAACTTAAATGGATCCCATATTTTCGTAAAGTTGTAAGAAGTATTTGTATTTTTAAGAAAAAAATTAGTCCAATAGATACAAAAAGTTAAACGCAATCACACTACTCCTTTAACAAACCAATTGAGTTACTTCTTTCACGTAAAATTATAAAATTAGCCTCTTTGGACATTTTTGTCAATTTTCATTAAGGAAAGCTCCTCACATTCGCTCTTATTAATAGTAGTAGAAAGTAGAATAAAAGTTTTTTAAAAACTTCATAATATTGTGTTTAAAATTAAAATAAAAAAATAGTTGGCCAATTTTGCAATCGATAAATCATATCAAAAAAAAATTATAAGTTATTGATAAGGGTTATTAGGTTAATGATTTTAATAGATTTTGAAAATTCTTTTGTTGGATTATCAATTTGATTTTCGATTATATGATTATAATTAATTGATAACCCAATAAAAATACATGAAAATTATTATTTTACTCCTTATTATATAATAGTGTGTCTCTATTGTGATACATTTTTTCTTCTCGACACGAATAAGTATTACTTTGTCTTTTCTTAATATAAGAGTTGATAGTGCTAAAACCATACCATTAATGTTGTATATACAATTTAATGCATGAGTCTTTAGAAGGAACTCAAACATTTTCTTCATAAGCAAAGTATATCAATGTAAAAGTTTGTATTGCATTTCTGTTCTTGCTATTAATATTTTTTTTTATGAATATCATGTATACATAATCATATCACATTTTTTTATTGGTTAAATTGATAATTGAATCATTAAAGATCAAAATCAATTAATTAAAAATCAATAATAGCTATCGTATAGGTTTGATTATTGATTTAATGTGTTAACAAATCAAAAAAATGATAAATTAAACTCATAATAAATAAAATTGAATTGAACAGATAGATGCACACCCCTACCGCTATGCAACTATAATAAACTTTTCCAAATTTCAAAGCACACTATTACTTGGTAATTGTGTTATACATATATATTAGATGGGGAAGGCCCGTGGCAAGCACGGGCCCAATAGTCAAAATATCAGTATTGATGAATCATTGATGATAGTTACTAGAGAAGATGGATAATGTGATATGTTATATACTATTAGAGATATTCAAAATATATGTACAACTGATATTGGACATCAAGATGATCCATATTAACTAAGGTAATAAAATCAAAATATTTTTTTTTGCCATATGAGATCAACATGTGATTGTGTATCATATCATATGTAGAGGATGTACAAGATTCGTTTAGTGAGAAGTTTTCTGGAGTTTTTGAGCTGCTTTTGTTGAATTGTTCCAAATTAGAATGTGAAATTTAGTGAAAAGTTTCAAACTTTAAGAAATAAAGTGACACTTTTTTTATGTGGATGAGTGGAGGGGGGCAATGAGAGGTGAAGTTTTAGAATTGAGGGGACAACAATGACTACAGGGTCATTGGATCTTAGTTCTTCAGGAAGTTTTGGTTCTTTGCAACAACAACTATTTCAGAATAGTTCATCACCAATCCAAACAACACCCCCTATTCCAAGAAAACCCCCAAAATTGTTTAAGGAGAAAGAGGGATTGTTTCTCTGGATCTGCAAATTCGCCCCTCGAAAGAATGTTGGGATGTTGCTACACTGTGTAGTTTTTGCTGCAGCTTTTCTGTGGGTCTTGTATGTTGGCAAAGGTTTGCTCTCTACACTTCTGTACATTTGTCACTTTTTTTTGAGATGTGTCACATTGTTAGGACTTTTGGCTCCAACTTTTAGTTTAAAGTGGTGTAGTATCCATAATTTCATTCTAGATCATGTCAAATCTTTATGCAAACCAGAGCTTTAGCTATAGTTTGGTGTTCATGCACTTTCAAATACTAAGATAGAGAATTTGCTTATTAAGTAGTACTACAAAATCAAAAATCTTATTTTTGTTATTTCTTAGAGTTTATCGGATACATGAAGGTAAAGGTCTGCTTACACACCACCCTCCCTGGGACCCACTTGTGGGATTACTCTGTGTACGTTGTTGTTGTTATTTCTTTGAGTTAATGTCATAAGAGCTTTTGATAGGCTCTTATGTAGTGTTATCTAGTGGTTATAGTGTTCTAGTTTTCGTAAAATTAATTGGTTGCCTTGCATTTGTTTGCATTTCTGACATTTTTTTAATGAGGAAATTTTCCTGATTTTAGCTAGTTTCCACTGAAGATTCTCAATGAACAACTGTATAATTCAATTTTATGCTTCTGTTATTAAAGGAATGCTTTTGATTCGTCCGTTCCATATGTTGGTGCTTGTACATTTCCTAGATTTTCATCCCTCAAATCTGATTTTCTGCTTTCTGCAATGACCAAGTTTTCAACTCATTTTCAGGTGAAGTTGCCGCAGAACAAAGTAATAGGATGTTTACTCCAGAAAATGTACATAAAATATATTTTTAGGGGTATTGAGTCTATACCAAAAAATAATGTTGGCCGAAGTGTGTCAATTGTCCAACCTCCTCCTCCTCTTCCTCCCCTCTTCTTCCTTCTGTATATTTCAAAGGATACACTCTTCCCCCTGGAAATCCATGTGAAGGCTTTACGTTGCCACCCTCGCCAGTAGATAAGAAGAGGACTGGACCATAATGTAAGTTTAAAAGTCTCGTAATACCCTGAAATTTTTCTCCATTGAATAGATTGAAGGTCATAAATATGAGTACTAAATGCTGAACCTCAGTTTTCTTTTTCTTTTGTTTTTCAGCATGTCCGGTGTGCTACCTTCCTGTTGAACAAGCTATTGCATTAATGCTTGATGCACCATCCTTTTCTCCTGGTGTTAGCAATTTGACTTACATCCATGAAGAAAATCAGAGTAAAGCCGATTTTGGAGGTTCAGATTTCGACGGATAACCTTCGTTGTTTCAGAGGAATGATTCTGACATAATAGAGTCCATGAGGGTGCATTGTGGGTATGATATTATCTCTACTTGATAAAGATTACTGCAATTTTCACAAGATCCTCTATTTTACCATATTTTATATTTCCATTCCACATCCAATTGACAGTTTTGTCAGAGGAGTCAGGCCTGGACATCAGACAGGTTTTGACATTGATGATTCTAACCTTGTTGAGATGGAATCTTGTCAAGGTGTCGTGGTGGCATCGACAATATATGGTATTGATCTTTCAGTTCACTCATTGTTACATTTTCATCTTGTATCTAGTGGACTGTAGTTTTAAAATTTAACAAATATATTCTTGATAAGGGGCTTTTGATTTGATACGGCAACCAAAGAATACCAGTGAATATGCAAAGAAAAATGCATGCTTCTATATGTTCGTGGATGAGCAAATAGAAGCATTTTTGAGAAATTCAAGTGAGCTGAATAGTAGCATGAGAATTGGTTTATGGAGAATTGTTGTTGTTCATAACCTATCTTATGGTGATCCAAGGCGAAATGGAAAGGTAAGCGTTCATAATGTTACATTGCCTATTTAATAAGAGTTTGATTCTTGTACGCATAACCAACAGAGGATGTGTATATATGGATGCATTCGAACTTTTTTGTCAAATAGATGGCAAAGTAACAACATTAGGAGTGGATAACTGCGGGAGTTCTTAAACCTTCTACATCTATGCAGTCAAGTATTAAGACTTTTTCTCTGAGTTGCTCAAAATAAATGTATACAATCATATTAAATGTTTAATTTTGAAAAATATTTTGAAGAGAATGGATTCAATTAAAAAGAAGTGGGAGTTCACGATAACCTTGAAGTCGTCATGACAAAGTTATGGTTATTAGAAGAATTCATTGCACATTTGCAACTACAATCTAGTTAACTGAACTTCTTTTTGCATACAATTTGTTTCTATAAACATCTCTGAACTAAATTATATGAAGGATGAATTCCTGTAATTCAAGATTTCTAATAAGTGCATCTCTTCTACGGTTCTACCTCCTTATCCAATAGCCAATGCTATGTCCATTGGATAGCCAATATCTTTCCTACTTAGATGTGAAGTTTGAATCCTTATCCAACTTTCTGCTTAAATGGAAACTTTTGCATTCGAGATCTAGAAGTCCGCAGTCTAAAAAGGCTCTTAGGTTTTTTTGTTATCTTCCTAAAAAAAATTAAAAATCTGAACAGACTGTTGTTTCAATTCTAGATGGGTCTATATATGGAAATATCTAGAGTTCCATTATCTACTGTAGTGAGCAAGCACAAAGTGCATTTGTCTTCAAGGTTTTCTCAAATCTTATTTGATGCACATACTATTCATATTCTATATACAGAAGACATTTTAGCTTTTGCTTTCGTTGTGCCTTTATGATATTGATATCTTTTCTAATTTCTTCCCTAGTTTTCATTACCTTATGGAGAAAGAGACAATATAATGATTTAATAAGTTATTTTAGCAATCTAAACGTCTCAAAGTTTATCATAGTTTTGATCTACAATTCTGAAAGTTTAAGTTCCTACTTGTCTTTGTATTCTGTATTTTATCACATCTCTCTGGAGTACTAAAAAGAAAAGATAAATATTACGCTAGTCTTTTCTTTATCTCTGCATTAGGAATTACCTTCTGTGCTTAATATGAAGAGCAGCAGGATCACTAATACTCTTCCCCAACCATGGGAGAGCAAATGTGGAGGAGAAGTAAACAAGGAAAGAACTAAAGTGGATAGACAACAAATGTACAGATCCAAAAAGTATAGCGAAATTACCCATCTACCCTTGTTCATCCTCTAGAAATCTCCTCAACTATATATATATATATATATATATATATATATATATATATAAAGTACAATTTAAATAGTTTTGGGAACAACTTTTTAAAGTTGTGTTAGTCCTTCAACTCCCTCTTCTAAATAGGGGAGATTTTTGTTACCTTCCTAAAAAAAAGAAAAATTTGAACAGTCTGTTGGTTCAATTCTAGATGGGTCTATATATGGAAATATCTAGAGTTCCATTATCTACTATAGTGAGCAAGCACAAAGTGCATTGGTCTTCAATGTTTTCTCAAATCTTATTTGATGCACATACTATTCATATTCTATTTACAGAAGACATTTTAGCTTTTGCTTTCGTTGTGCCTTTATGATATTGATATTTTTTCTAATTTCTTTCCTAGTTTTCATTACCTTATGGAGAAAGAGACTATATAATGATTCAATAAGTTATTTTAGCAATCTAAACGTCTCCAAGTTTATCATAGTTTTGATCTACAATTCTGAAAGTGTAAGTTCCTACTTGTCTTTGTATTCTGTATTTTATCACATCTCTCTGGAGTACTAAAAAGAAAAGATAAATATTACGGTAGTCTTTTCTTTATCTCTGCATTAGGAATTACCTTCTGTGCATAATATGAAGAGCAGCAGATCACTAATACTCTTCCCCAACCATGGGAGAGCAAATGTGGAGGAAAAGTAAACAAGGAAAGAACTAAAGTGGATAGACAACAAATGTACAGATCCAAAAAGTATAACGAAATTACCCATCTACCCTTGTTCATCCTCTAGAAATCTCCTCAATTTAATATATATATATATATATATATATATATATATATATATATATATATATATATATATATATATATATATATATATATATATATATATATATATATATATATA